TAATGAAATGTAATGGAGTGCAAAGTGCGTCACAACACTGATGCGCAGCTGTTCATAAACCCCCACACTGCTGTGTTGCCTCAATGTTTCCTAGAATACATATAAATAATTCACCTGGGAGAAAAAGAAAAGTAAAACCTCAAAGTATTTTTATGCTATAGGCTCCTGCAGACATCAACTACAAATCACGTGAGTGTTGTAATGCCATGAGTTATATGCATGTGTGTGGTCGGGGAACAGTGTCAAGTGTGTATTTGCTAATATATGTGTTCCTGTGTAGGGTGTTGGCACTTTTTCCTTCGGTTTAAATACGTGCTGAGATACATTTCAGACCTGATAACATGGCAAGGCAGGTGTAGAAAAGTGAGTATTTTAACAGCTGATTATAAACTACAGCTGCTGTTCTGCAGTGATGTATTTATGCCAGAATGCCTTGTTGGTATTTTGTCCTGTGTAATCCACTGTAGTATTCTGCGTAGTATTACGCAATGTTATGTATAGCAGCATATGCCATATGATCCTCGGCCTGCAGCAGCTCGCTCCAGCGAAAGTTGGGAATGAGTGGAAAGTTAGTGAATGGCCTGATGAGTGGGATTGTTGACTTTACTCTAATGGGAGTGTTACAGAAATGTTTCTCAGCCCTGAGTTGGCCCGTTGCCAAAGATACATTTATAAAAAGAGTTTTAAAAAATGACTCTGCCTCTATTTAAACATGTCGACATATATGAGAGGAGCTGTATTCAGTTTGTGGAGGGTTGTGTCTATAAACACATAGTATATGCTGCTGAAGACTGTTACCCTCATATGCAGACATATAATTAATGCTTGTATGTATAAGTTTCTTCTTCTATTTTGCTTCTTTTCAATACCCTGCAATGAACACTTTAAAATGATTTATATCCATATAGGAAAGTCATTGAGTTGCACTGGGATTCCACAGTTAAACTGCAGCAATCAGTCATACGTATGTGCAATCAAGAGTAAATGTCAATCTTGCTCATGGCTCTTTGTGTATTGATCCTAGATGCAGAAAAAACCTGAACGAGGAACTAACAGACTTAAGTCTAAGATATAATTGTCCATAACGACCAGACTGAGCTAACAGAGAAATTAATCCACATCGTGATTTATTACAAAAGCAGTTTCTTGTTTAGTACTATTGTTGATGTGAACCAGTTTATATGAATATATGCATATTTAAAGATCAGTAAGTTGGACTGCTTTAAAATGTTATTCATGAGCTGATTTTTTTTCACCTCTGTGAAGCTCGAAACTAGAGAAATTGTTGTCTCCTTAAAAAATAACTTGTAGCTTGTAGACTTGATTATCATGAAGCTGCAGTTTTTTTGTTTGGTGCACAGTTGCCCCTACCCATGCGCCTCAGTACCACCCACAGTGTGAACCAATACAAACTTAACACCTCCCAGTGGATTCTCACTCTCACCCTCACGTCACTGAAGACCCTCACCATCAGGTCTCCTTCCTCCCCCCCTCCTCTCTATTTGCACACCCATGCACACTCATGTCTCTCTCACACTGTTCTGTGTATGTGTGCAAACATATTTCTGAAATCACCTGCACTGTTTGGTCATGGGTCTTGACCAACCGGCCGCAATTCTTCTCTGGATCATGCGCCTCTTGTAATTTTCCATTCTCATCACCGGCACATGGAAATAATCCAGGCCGGGTCATGTTCTTAAGCCGGTTTGGCTCGTGCTAAGTCATTTTGGATCAGGCTCACTCACAATAGCTAAGTTGATGAGCGAGAGTTCGAAGTCTGCTCATCTGATATTTTCTTGCACGTGTTTAATTCTTCTTTTTAATCTTTATAATCAAATGTGCATTTTCATAACGTGAATGGTAGACAATTCACATAATCGACTTCTAACTTGGGTTTGGATTCAGCTGTGGCTAAGGAGTTGGAGAGGGTTGTCCACTAACCAGCAGGTTGTTGGTTTGTTCCCGGGCTCCTTCTGTCTGCATTCCTAAGTGTCCATATTGTGGGAAAGATACTGGACCCCACATATTTTCCCCTGACAGCTGTGCTGACATGACCAGTGTGTGATTTAAAAAAACAATCACTGCATAGAGAAGTTCTGTACAAATGTGTGAATGTGACTATAAAACCCTTTGAGTTGGAAAAACGATATATAAATGCAGTCTCTTTACCATTCACCCTTGACTGTTTCAGATTCAGCTGATCCGTGTCTGATGACAGCCCTCATCATACACACATCTGAATGTTGTGTTTGGTTTTCTACTGAGCGCATATCCTCCATGAATATTTATGAAACCGAAGTGCAGCATGAGTTGCAGCACATGTGTCTCATAGTTTTGTTTTCACATGGCAGGTCAGAGGTGGAGGCCTGAATTTAGCACACAGTGTGACACTGTAACAGAAAAATACAACAGTGGTCCCCTTCCTGTTCCCTCTTCGAGACAGTAGTCTGTGGTCAGTCCCCTCAGACCACGTATATTGTTGTGGTCCCAGATAAATGATCAGTTTGCTGTGGTATCTGCTGGAATGGGAAAGAGGTAAACTCATAGACAATCATTGCTTTTGATTTGGTGAAGAAAAATCTTTGCTTGACACACATGAGCTTTGTTCGCAGGTGTTATTTAATAATATTAAATATTTTCCATTTGCAGCCTGGACCTTAACACAGCATATTTGATTTTATTCATCTGATTTAATAAAATACTTTACCTCAGTTTAACATCAGTGAGGTTTTACCGAAGCTTTTCCTCTTCTTTTCTCCGACCAGACAGAAAAACCTTCCCTCGACACCGAGGACAGAGCCTGGCTGGGTGAGGGTCAGTCTGAATCTCAGCTTACACAAGGTCCGGATGGAGTCACGACAAGTGATGGAGACCGGCCCGCTTGGGACTCGAAGTTCCAGTACGTGTTGGCCCAGGTGGGGTTCAGCGTGGGCTTAGGGAATGTGTGGAGGTTTCCGTACCTGTGCCACCAAAATGGAGGAGGTGAGTGTCTCAGTGGTCGCTAGTATCAACTTTGTAACTTATGCTCAAGGGTCAACCGATTAGATTTGGGTCTTGAATCACTTGGACTCAAAGATGATTACATTTCAGTGGTCGAAGGTAAAGAGCACAGTGTCCTTATATGAAAACAAATCTTACAACCGAAGTGTGCTATTTCTAGTTTCTTCATTTGTCTTTCTTCATTCCCTCCAGGGTCCTTCATGGTATTGTATGTTTTTCTCCTCCTGATTGTGGGCGTTCCACTGTTCTTCATGGAGTTGGCAGCTGGGCAGTGCATCCGACAGGGAAGCATCGGTGTGTGGAAGCACATCTCCCCGAAACTGGCAGGGGTTGGCTACTCCAGCTGCATGGTGAATATATTTATATTTACATTAGTTTTTTTCTCTTTGGCTTGAAATTGAACTCTTGATTTAGATCTGAGTTGTGCTTTAGATAATTTGTTAGTGGTGTTAGTGGTAAAAACTGAGATGCAAGGTCATAAAATCTATTTATTCGTCTAAAAGGCTTCTACAACCTTCGAGTGTCCATCTTTACGTAGATTGTATGTAAAGATGGACGACATGACTGCTCTCCAAAAAGTGAAGCCAGAAAGTCTCTATCATCACCTGGAGGCTGGCTGCAGTATTGTTAGCAAATTCCCCCACCTCCATGTTAGTTGATAAAACATGGGCCAAACTAAAATGTCAAAGCGCATGTGAAGTACATTTTTCTCAAACATGGTTTCAGTCATTTTCTGTTGTTCTTATCACACTGATGTATGTTCAAGTGTTCATTTGACCAGTAAGTTTGGTGTTAATTAGTTATTTGATGCTGTAAAAACATGGTGAAATTGTCTTTTGCACACGTATATCAGCAGGACCTTGCTACAAGGCAATCACTTACACTTCACATGCAAACACACAAATGTACACAAACGCAACATTACATCAAGCTAAATTTTGTCCTGGGTCATTTGAGATTTGTTTTTCTGCGCTGTTCAGATTTTTGACCTTGAAAGATGTTTTCACCGAATGTACAATATGCAAGTCGGCACATACTGTATCATACTGTATATCTCAAGGACCTGCTGCGTAAATATTGAAAATTCACTAAGTAAATCATTCACAAACCCTTTCTTCTCCTCAAAGGTCTGTTTCTACGTGGCTCTGTACTACAATGTCATCATTGCATGGAGCCTGTTCTACTTGGGAAATTCTTTTCAGTATCCTCTGCCGTGGGAGCAGTGTCCTCTCGATGTAACCACTAACGACACAGGTATTCGCATTACGCAGAAATTAAACAAAAGTAAGTCACATGAGGCCGATCAAAGGTCATAAAGACAACATCTTGGTCTTCTCCATTGACAGTGAAAGAATGTGCAGGCAGCTCCCCGACGTCATATTTCTGGTTCCGGAAAGCCCTCGACATCACAAATTCCATCGATGACTCCGGAGAGTTGAACCCCATCATGACGGGCTGTTTGTTGGCTGCCTGGACCATTGTCTCTTTGGCCATGATCAAGGGCATCAAGTCCTCTGCAAGGGTAACTTAACTTCTCTTCTGGTTTTCACCACTTTCCATGTCAACAACCAATTCAAATGTCTGTTGAATATGGTTAAGATAAGGATGCAGGCAGTTAGCTCGACTTACCACATAGAACAGAAACGGATGTAGCGTGTCTCTGTGGAGGAACTGATTGGCGGTTTTGTTTGGAACTAATCGTTTCAAATGTTCTTACAAGTAAAATCATCCTCTGCTTCTTTTTCCAAATCTTAGGTGATGTACTTCTCCACAGTCTTTCCCTATGTGGTTCTCTTCATCTTCTTAATCAGAGGGTTGATGTTGGACGGTGCGATTGATGGAATCACCTATATGTTTTACCCTAAAGTAAGTTCATCGTATTCTTGTTTTCCTTTTTTTGTCCGTCTTGATTTTGAATTGAATAAAGTTTTCTCGTAAAAACAGAATTAGACTTTTGGTTTTGTTGTTCCCTTTCAGCTGGAAATCTGGGGTAATGTGCAGGTGTGGCGACAGGCTGCCACACAAGTCTTCTTCGCCCTTGGTCTGGGCTACGGCTCCGTCATTGCATATTCCTCCTACAATCCAGTCAACAACAACTGCCACAGGGACGCGCTGATGGTCTCTGGCATCAACTTCATGACATCGGTGTTGGCATCACTAGTGGTTTTTGTTGTGCTGGGTTTCCGTGCCAAGAACATTGCACTACGCTGCGTGACTAAGTACGGACGTGTGTGTGTGTGTGTATGAAAATAAATATTTAGTTCAGTCCATTATTGCAACATATTTTGTAGCACTACATTATCATGATCCCGTCAATGTAAAGGCATCATGATAAAAACTACAGAAATCTGTTAGACTGGCAAATGATTGCTGAAAGCAAATATAACACATGCATGCAGTAGATAACAAGATGAATGGAATACATCGGTCAACCCAAGAGTAAAATGTTATGTAAGTTCAAATAGTCAAAACAAATGAAGTCTTTCTCTCATTGCAGAAATCTTGGTCTGCTCAGCTCCATGGCGTCACATGGAGCTGAAGAGCACTGGTGGCCTTGGTTCAACATGTCAGATCCGAGCTCTGTGTCCTTAGGGGAGTACAGAGAGTGGTACAGTCACTACAGCCCCATTGTGGGTTCCAACATCACTGACTGCAGTCTGGAGGAGGAGATGAATAAGGTGAGCGGCATTTAACGGCTCCTTCGTTTAAAAGTGTGGCTTCAGGAAAGATGGACTAACGTGCAGACTGAGGGTTAAAGTCGGAGAGACTCCACATGTCTGAAGATGTGTAGCCAGTCCCTCCTGGTTAACTTTGATGAAAACATTTTTTTACAAGAAATTCATAAACGTAAACTTCAGAACTGTCAAAACAAACTGTAGGAGGCCACTGGAACATAATTGGTTGCTATTATTGGTGAGCCGACCGTAGTCCTGACTGTTTCTTGTGTTGTGTAATACGTTAACACCTTCACTGTTCGTGTTCATGTTTAGTCTCCACTTCGCCACAATGTCCTCAGAGAAGCGTTGATGCAAACTTTACGTGCATCTGCAGCTGTTGCTCTCTCTCACACTTACACACACACACAGACACAGTGATCCGTCCGTCACAGTTACACTGACCGTCAGTACCACTCCCAAAATACTCTCCTGTCGGCCTGAGTTACGAGGTAATGTTTGCTGTTATTACCTCCACAAAACATGGTGGAAGGATGTGAGGAAGAACTCATTACATTTCTGTCCAGGAAATTGTTTGACTTTCTATGATATTTCAAAATTGATTAACATTTATCAGTTTCCTCTGATAATAATTAATGAGTCTTGATGAAAAAAAATCAGGCATGTTGAGGGGACTGATATTTATGAGTGTATGAAATTGGCTTAAAAAATCCTGAGGCTCAGCCAGAGGTGAACATTTCAATAACGCAGTATGTAGGTGGAGTGCTGCGTTTCCCAGGACCCCTGAAGAATCTGGGAGGTACCGTAAAACATCCAGTCGACAAGAGGAGGAAAACATATGTGACACTGAATCTAGTAGGTCCCCGGGAGAGAAAGGAGCAAGCTGTGATAGAGGAGTGAAAGGAGAAACTAAAGAAACAGAGGAAGAGGCACTAAATGTCATGGTACCTCACAGTGTTTATTTTATCACAGAATTCAATGTTTTGTGTAGGTTGTACCTATAGGATACGACTGGAAACCTCAATACTGCACTCTCACTGCCTCCTGGTGTGTGTGGAGCCCTTACATACTTTTTCCACCATCAGTCGACATTAACCCTTTCTCCTTTTAGACGTATTGTCACTATCGTCTTTGTGTGCGTGCAGGGTGTTGAAGGCACGGGCCTGGCGTTCATAGCGTTCACTGAGGTGATGGCGCTCTTCCCAGCCAGCCCCTTCTGGTCCACACTGTTCTTCCTCATGCTGCTCAACCTGGGCCTCAGCACCATGTTTGGGACCATGCAGGGAATCCTCACACCTCTCATGGACAATTTCAGCTTCTTGGGGCGCCACAGGACTGCACTCACTGGTAATCCTGCCCCCACAAATTAACATGTGTTCAAAGTTTTCTCTGGATTACAGGTGTATACAGTATATGGCTTGAATAAATGATTCTGCATAAATGTATGATTACATACAAGACTAATATATCAATACAATACACTTCTGTAGAATCGACAGTCATTTTCTTTATTCAGACAACAAATATTGTTTATTGCTGTCATTGAAAGAATAAAAGTCCCGAGGCATCTTATATTGGAGCCATTGTCTGCTCTTTATTTTATATACATATATGTATGTCTGTGTGTGTGTGTGTGTGTGTGTGTATATATTCAGTCGTAAGTTTAAACCATAATCATCTATACTTTTAGTTTAAACATCAAAAAGAAGGGAACATCCTCACATTTTTCACGCTCTCTTTTTGTATATTATATCACCTAATATAATACTTTTAGTTTTGTACCTTTACTTCTTTCTAACACTGTCTACATCTTTTGTTTTTCAGTGTCCAGCTGTGCTCTGGGTTTCTTGATAGGAATGTTGTTCACCCAGCGTTCGGGGAACTACTTTGTGACGATGTTTGATGACTACTCTGCAACCCTCCCGTTAGTCATCGTAGTCATTTTTGAAACCATAAGTGTGGCCTGGGTTTATGGAACCGATCGGTAGGAAACAATATACACGACGGATGTTAATTTTCTTCGTCTTTGCTTTATCATGAGAAGATGCCTATTTCCTCCACTGCAGCTTCCTGGATGATATTGAGGTCATGCTCAAATGGCGCCCTCCAGTGGTGTACAAATATCTTTGGAAGTATGTGTGTTTACTGGCGATGGTGGGTCTGCTGGCTGCCAGTTTGCTGCGCATGATCTTTAAAGGTCCCACATACACTGCCTGGAATCAAAACACAGTAAGATATTATATGTAAAGACAGTAGTTTTTAAACAGAACAATTCTAAGTCATGTTTACAGCGTATGGGAAAGTTGTATTATGACACCCAGTGAAAAATAATGATAATGGTTTGACAAAAGTTTGTTTTAATGTATAACATACAAACTTTTATTTTTATTAATATGTATTTCTCAATATATGGTGTTACAGCTGCCTTAAACTCCACAAAGAAATTATGATACTAAAATTAAAGTAATTTGCATTGTGGATACCTACTGATGTCTCATCTCTCTGATATGCTCTGTCCATCCGTCTCTTCAGGCGTCTGAGATGACTCTCGAGTATCCTCGCTGGGCCCTGGCGATGATCGTCATGCTCATAGTCTTTGCTAGCCTGCCTGTGCCAATCGGCTACATCCATTCCACGTGGAAAAACCGCCAGCTCAGTAACGCTCGCTCCGAAGTAGGAGGTGGCCAGGAGATGCACCGTGAGTTGTACACCAAGTGCGACTCCAGTGACCAGCTGGACTCAAGCTCCCACCACCGAGCCCCCTCCGAGGAAGACGAGGCTCGTCCCAGGACGGCCTTCCAGACAGTGGGCGCCGACCACTACCAGCTCCTGCCCCAGCAGCTGGAGGTAGAGGAGGATGAGGAGCAAGACACAGGAGTGTGAGCGCAGCTGAGGGAGGAGGGTGGTTTGTTTGTGAAAGAACAAATTGTTCATCCTCGGAAGGTGAGTTAGCGAGACCCTGGAAGAGAGAGTTGTCAAAGTGGAGGCAGGACATTCGTAAACAGATTTTATCAGAGTCTTTGGGTTGTACCCTGTCATCATATTCAAGCAAGCTATGCATTGCTGACAGGCCAAAGTTATTTTCTTTATATAAGTGAAGGTACATTACACAGTCAAATCAAGGCTTTTTATTTTCTTTATTTGTGAAACAAGACCTCAGTTCCGCCTTGTTTATCCCTCTGTTAATTTTTTGAACCACACAAGCTGTTCAGAACATAAAAACCATTGTAAATACACGACAAAGGAAGAAAACCGTACCTTTGGTGAAGCAAAGGATTTTATTTTAGTGGAAGAGAGAGTTGTCAAAGTGGTGGCAGGACATTCGTAAACAGACTTTATCAGAAAAGCCAAAGTTATTTTATTTATATAAGTGAAGGTACATTACACAGTCAAATCAAGGCTTTTTATTTTCGTTGGTGAAGCAAAGGATTTTATTTTAGTGGAAGAGAGAGTTCTCAAAGTGGAGGGAGGACATTCGTAAACAGATTTTATCAGAGTCTTTGGGTTGTACCCTGTCATCATATTCAAGCAAGCTATGCATTGCTGACAGGCCAAAGTTATTTTATTTATATAAGTGAAGGTACATTACACAGTCAAATCAAGGCTTTTTATTTTCGTTGGTGAAGCAAAGGATTTTATTTTATTTTTTACATAAGGACATTTACCAGCTACCAGTCTGTCAAACTATACTTTTGATTTCACGCTGGGATTTAAACTGAGAAATATGCTTCATGCATGAAAACATTCTACCATGAGAAACTGTGATGTTTGTGTTCGTGTTGTTAATCACGTTGTTTATAACATGAGAGATGTTAATATGTCGGTTAAATTTGCTCATTTTACTTTGTATTAATATCGTTTTACCTCATAAGAGCAATGTTTTTACACGTGTTCATCCAGTGTCAGTTGTAGCTGTTTCAAATCGTTCTAGACGAGGACTTGAATAAACCTCTAGATGGCAGTAACCTGACTCTCGACTTTCTGTGATTCACTCAGCTTTGCTCAAAACCTTTAAGTCCTAAAAACTTTTTTTTTTTAAGAAAGTGAAACGTTGGTGAGGGGTTTTCTTCACAAATTGTGGTTTTGAATTTTCTGTGCATATAGGCAAAGGATAGGATAATACAAATAAATATTTTTGGGGAGCACAGAAGCAGTTCAAGCCAACACTTACCCTACACTTCAATCAGTCAAATACATAATCACAGTTCCTATATGTTACAGATATTTGCTGCATTTTCAGTGAAGCTCTGGAACTTCCCTTAAACACCAGGTCTGTTTTTCTATGTATCTGTAAGAATTTGTGGATTTTTAAGGGAAGTTCCGTCATTTTTCATTTCAGTGTCTCCATTTGTGTTGAGCAATGTTCATCAATTTCACTTTACAGTCTTAATTTTTGGTGGGACAGCTGTTGTTACACATACTATATTGCCAGTACCTCTCAGTACCTCTGTATTTCATATTATTGTATCTCTCACACTGCTCTTCTGGGAAATATTGGTCACTAAAATCTTCAGGACAGCTTTCATTGTGTGATAAGAAATGTGTCTTTTATATTTTAAATGATTTGCTTATCTGTTTCTAGCTAAGGGAAGCTGACTGCCCATGTTCCATCATTCCATCCATATGGTATTTGGGCCAATTCTGTGCCAAAACAATTTTGCTATGTAATCACACAGTAGTGCAAAGAACGTGTGTTTTTGCATCAGTATATTCAACTAGAGACCACTCCGAATCAAACGGGAGTAAAAGCTGCAAGAGAGAGAGAGAGAGAGAGAGAGAGAGAGAGAGAGAGAGAGAGAGAGAGGGAGGGAGAGAGAGAGGGAGGGAGAGAGAGAGAGAGGGAGGGAGAGAGAGAGAGAGAGAGAGAGACTGCGCGCACTTGGGCGGGACAGGAGTGCGCGGGACATCGGCACACCGGGGCCGGGTCAGGGAGCTGTAAGGATGGAGATCCGACCGGACAGGTTTAAGGCGGTGGCGGGGAAAACTCTGGGGAAAATTCACAGGTAGCTACACACCTCATTCAAATGTTCCCGACCCCACCTCTGACTTTTACCCCCGTTTTTACGCGTGTGTTGGGGATGGATATCTAGGTGGGCTCTGCGGGACCCTGCGGTTCGTCACGCTAAAGGTTCGCATCCCCCCCCCCCCCCCCCCCCCCCCCCCCCCCCCCCCCTCTGTCTCTCATCCAACCTGCAGGTGTGAAGTAGAGGAAAAGTTTGTTCCTTATTGATTTGAACTGAGGAAAGAGGCGATTGTTGGATTTAAGCAGCAGATCGTGTCGTCAGAGGCTCAGCCCCAGCTGTGCGCAGCATTGACAGAGGTTAATTCAAAAATGCTGCAAGAGATGGACGGATTATTTGGCTCTAATTTCATCTTTGGTTTTTATTTGATTGTTCATTTCATTTTGTGACAGTGCGGTGAACTTATGCTTTGTTCACTGTGGTTCGATGCTTTCGACACTTTTCTTCCAGAAACTAAGAGCGATGCTGTTAGTGTCTGAACTCGCTTCATCCTGTTAGTTAGTTAGTTAGTTTGTTAGTTTGTTTGTTTGTTTGTTTGTCCCAGCTCATTGTGCATTGAACGTGTTGGTGTGTCAGAGGAAAAGTGCGGTTACATAATATTTCTATGCGTTATTGGCACGACCTGGCTGGATGAGAGCGCTGAGCAGATGGTGCCAAATTCTTCATCTTTCTATCTTTCTATCTATCTATGCACAATGTAAAAGCCACTGTTATCAGTCTGTGTAGTGATTTTAAGTGTTTATAACATTTCAAGAAAAGTCAAAGAGTAACATCTGATCTGTTTTCCTCTGATGAGACTTTTTTCTATAATCTCTAATTTGTTCATTCGGTTTTCAAACTAAAATATCAAGCATTCAAACTAAAATTACAACAATTAGAATTGAACTACAACAGCAGCCAGTCAAAGTGTATCAGTCGATACACAATTTAAAAAAAAAAAGGCAAACTGACAACTTTTCTTTTAATGACTCTTCACAGCTCCAATAGCTGTGCGATGCTTCTCTGGGTGGTGAACTGTCTGAGGAGATCTGAACATTTTACATCATCATCTGATGGACACATTACTCGCAGGCCTATAGTGATAAAAAAAATCTGTGCGTGTACTTTTAAAAGAGAAGAACAACATATATATATATATATATATATATAACTACCTTTAATGGCGATTGTGATAAAGTGCTGAATAAATTGTATAAAAGTTGCAACACAGATTGGTTTGCAGACAATATTTCATTAGAAAAGAGATTAAAGACACTGGTGGAACCTCATGCAATAACCACTGCTTTAAGCTTTCACGCTCTCAGGATTTGAGGTAGCAACCAAACGTATAAATCCCGTCCTGAAATAGCCTGTTTTTCAGTCCAGCTGTCGAGCCACGCAAATCCCTGAACTCTCCCCTCCCACTCACTCCATCCCAGCCCCATGTCACTTCCTCCAGCCGCTCCTTCCTGCAGCCGCTCCCTCCATCCTCCATCCCATCCATTCTCCATCCTCCATCCATCCGTCCATTGAGAAACCTGCACCGACACCTTCCTGCCTATCAGGGTCTCCCAGATTAACAGACATGCAAATCTCAGGCTTTTTCTCTCTTACTGGTCATGAGCCATGCGTGTGCACGGATGCTATGAGAGATGTGATGTGGCGGATTGGATTGAGATTGGTTGCAGTGGGGCATTTCCTCATCTTAACCACAGTGAACTCATGGTTTTATGTGGCCTCAGTGCAAAGTGCAAGCAACCATGTCTGTTTCATGTTGTACGTGTGTGCATTAAAAATATGTTCATTAGTGTGGAGAGCTTCCCTGCTCGGTGTGAATATGCGAGTGTGTCTGTGTGCAATCTCACCATCTCACAGACAAAACCACGATCCCTCCTGATGAAAGCAGCCAGGCGTCCATCTATTATTTAAACATTTTCTCCATCAGAATGCATCTCCTGTTTCTATATTAAACTCCACTAGCTAAGCATAAACTTCAGCACTGTAGGTCAAGTACACTCCTCATCTCTCCTCACACTATTTCACTCTGTTAACGTCACTTTAAAGAAATGCCCAAATATCATCTATTTATCTTCTTGTGCCAGGGAGCTGCTCCACAACACAGCATGAAATATAAAGACAGATTTATTCTACAACTTTTTGAAGAAAGTGTGTATTTGACTTCTTGCCTTTCAAAGAAATGACAAGATTACAACATGTATAAATTAAAATAATTTAAATTTGATCTGCTGGATTGCATTATGTTTCACTGCACACAAAGCAACACATAATAAAAGTATTCAGTTTGTCTACATAAGATATTTAGATATGAATCAGAATTTAACAGATAATTATTGTCTTATATTATATTTATAAAACAGAATGTTCTCGAAAAGTTTTTTTCATGAAACTAAGCAGCTTTGCAACTTGGCTCCACTTCTTTGTGCACATGCAAAATATGAAGGTTTTCCTGATTAATGGCTGGTTTGTATAAAAGCTATGAAATCTAATGTCACAGTTGTAGCTTGTCTGAAAAAACATGTGTAGTGAGAAACACCTTGGTGAAAAACTTGGTGAGCATGCTGTATGGGTTAGAGAAGAACCCATTGAATTTTGGTGTGGATGTGGATCAGGGGGCGGATCACAAGAATCTTATTTCGCTTTCTCTAAAAGTGCAAGGAGGAACGATTTTCAAAATTTTCACGTATTTCCCAGGGAACATTTCATCGATCTTGAGGGAAGTGAGATCTACGAGTGTGTGAACATTTTGTGCAGCTTCATTGAATAACTGTTGGGCCTTGGCTGAGAGAGACATTCTAGTTATCTTTTGAGTTTCTGTCACTTTATGCCGGTGTCGTTCTGCCTGTGTTGTTATGTGTTGGAGTATCAACATGTAGTCCTGTGTATGGAGGGGTCTCCATAGTGAACCTATATCAGATACATCAGAGTTGAGCTGTTTGGAGAGTAAGCTGCAACCGCTCAGCGTGCATGGTTGTTGGCAGCCATGCTGCTCATATCCATGACGTTAGCACACATCCAGTATTAAGTGATCATGCAGCCTCCGTGTGTTGCTGAAGCTCGGTTTTAAAAACACCGTGGTACACAGCAGAACTGGAAATGATCTTAATATGTAACGTGATGATCGTGTTGTGACCCAGCTCAGTTTATCGCCTACCGTCCGATAAAGGTAGCGAGAAGTGTGTGTTGGTGTGTGAGTGCATTTGCAGGGATTTACTTTTTCACTCTTATTTCGATAATACGACTATGAAGGTCGTGTGTGTGTGTGTGTGTGTGTGTGTGTGTGTGTGTGTGTG